GACCAGATTTACTGGTCTGATAGAGCCTGGTGAGACCCCCCAAGACTATGGCTCCTAGTTTCCCTTCAGGCTTGGAACTGAACTCACTCCTGTGACTGCCAGCCAAACAACAGAAAGGCATATAGGGTGAACATTTACACCAGGTAGATACACTCCTCAGAGCGAGCAATCATGGGAAAACAGAAGGGCAGTATTTGCACAGGAAGAGAGCTCAGGGGGCAGGAATGCATAGGAAGGAAGAACACTGGGAAGAGGTAACTACAGGGAAGAAGTGTGAAGAGAGCTGTTACTTTATGGGGATTGCAGTCAATGTCATGAAACAATGTGTATGAACTGCTGTATGGAAAATGAATTTGCTCTGAAACGTTCACCCTTAATAAAATTTAAGAAAGAAAAAAAAAAAAACAGAAAAAAAAATGCCTCAGAGACAGTGCCATCACTAGGGTTGGTGTCACCCAGTGTGGTAACTCATGGTGTCACTTCCTCCCCCCATGGACCTCCTCCCATAGCAGACCACACAGAATCTTCAGTAATGGTTATTATCAATTTCAATCACAGAATAACACATAATAAATACAATTGTAAACTGCTTAAATATAATATTTCTTAGGGGAGCTCTGGTGGCATAGTGCCTAAGGTATTTCACTGCTAACCGGAAGGCTGGCAGTTCATACCCACCAGCCACTCCTTGGAAGGAAGATTGAACAATCTGTTTTCGTAGAGATATCTACTCTGAAACCTGAGGGGTTGCTATGAGTCAAATCCACTCAATGGCACTGAGTTTTGCTTTGTTTTGTTTCTATTAATACTAACAAAATTATTTTGTAAATTCTTTCTACATTGAATTACGTTATTAGTTACTGCATTATTAGTAGCTAAACGGAAGCCTTTAATTAATTAATTTTTTTTTTTTTCCCTTTAATTAGGAGCTCTGGTGGCACAGTGTCTAAGGCATTTGACTGCTAACCAGAAAACTGGCGGTTCAAACCCACCAGCCACTCCTCGAAGGAAGGTTGGGCAATCTACTTCCATGGTGATACCACTTTGGAAACCTGAAGAAGGGTCGTTATGAGTCGGATCCAACTCCACTGCTTTGCGGTGCGTTGCATTCCTTTAATGACTACAGTCATTCTCAAAAAAGTTACTGATACAAGTTCATAAATACTACTTACCACAATATTGTAGCTAACACAGAAGATTGACATAATCAGCAACTATAAAAACACCAGCAGTAAAGACAACAGCCAGTGAGTGCAGTCATGCAGAAGAAACCAAAGCGGCATAGTAATATTGGTAATAATGACAGCTCTGACTAAAACACATTAAAATAAAAAAACAAAAAACTCACTGCCATCCAGTCCATTCCGATTCATAGCAAAGGTTCAAAAATGAATTAGCATAGAATTTTAGCCCTTCTTACAGTTATATTGATACATGTAACCTGTTGTTGTTGTTGTTTCCTGTCCAGTCGGACCCAACTCATAGCGACCCCTCCTTGGGTTTCCGAGGCAGTATCACTACGGAAGTAG